TTAATTTATTTTCTGGTGCATTCACTTCCTGAGACAGTTTTTAGCAATGTGTAACTGCCTCGAGGGTGCTTGACCATTTAAACACAACGTGGTGCGATCATCCCCCTTGCGCGGAGTGAGGGTTCTCCACCCTGCACAACATGATCTACTCGACCACTATTATGGTTACCGCCAAAAAAAAAACGGAGGTTAAAAAAAAAACGAACGGTAACCTGGTTGCCGAGTTCACGAAGTGAATTGGCTTGTTTTACAACGTCGTTGCCAAGCGACGAAAACCCAATCTCGATGGTAAACACCTGGGGGGGGCGGCTTGTTTTACAACGTCGTTGCCAGGCGACGAAAACCCAACCCCGATGGCAAACACCGGGGGGGNCCAACCCCGACGGCAAACACCGGGGGGGACACCGGGGGGGGATCGGCAAGGGGGAAGGACATTTTGTAGATGGCGTGTTTGTTCTCTCCGTCTAAGCTGGGGGGGGGTGGCGGTTTTACCGCGTGACTCTCAAGCGAGGCGGCGGTGACGGCGACCGCGGGGGGGGGGGGACCGCCATATCACATCAACCCAAAAGCGGCTTGCGACCTCACCATACTTCACACGATCGGGTGTCGACGCACCCCAGCCAACCACCGTTCGCTCTCGACAACACCCCACCCATTGCACGTACCGGTAGCGCTTCCCCCTCTCGCCTCCCCCTCCCTTCGCCTTGCGGCTGCCGCTTCTCGTCGTCCCCCTCTTCATTCCCCCCTCTCCATTCACCACCTCCTTCCTTTCGACGCGCGGCTGCTGCCAACGCCGCTCCCTCTCCAGCTACGGCAGCAATAGCACCGTCTCTAGCCCCAGCGGCCGCCGTCTTCGCCCGTTGTCCTCCTCCGCTCTTGGTACTCGTAGCGGCGGCGGCGGCGGCGGCGGCGGCGGCGGCTTCCTTGTCCCTGTCTTCCACCACCCACTCCGACTCCCGCGCATACATGTCGGCCATGTGCTTGGAAAAGATAGACTGCATCGTGTTCGCATCCTGCCGGCACAAGGAGGAAGGGGGTGAAGGGTCAATAGAAACCAAGGACAGGGGGGGGGGGGGGGGGGGGNGGGGGGGGGGGGGGCGCTGGGTCTGTCGATCCCACCGGGAACCTTTACCGCAAGATGGTATGGGCTACGTATTGCAAAAAACACTTGGTTCGCACACAAAAGTGGCAGCCTCTGAAAATAGCAGTTCTCGCACTCTCCGCAAAGCGGAGGCCGG